GATTTAGCAGTGGATTCGAGCCATATCGTTAACTTTACGAGCCACATTGGTAAATGCATAGACATGACGTTTTATGAACGGTCATTTCGCGGTGTTAAAAAATCTCACAATTAGAAACTTTTTTAAAACCAAATTATACCCTTTTTCGAGTATAAATGTGGAAGAAGACATCAGTTTCCACCGAATGAGTAAGAGAATAAATACTTTGATGCGTATTTTCCATGAAATATGATTGAATGTTTAAGGGCATCGAAAATCCATGAGAAAAATGCATGCTACTTAAGTAGTCATTTGTTACAGAGTATTTTTTTCCATACAGACAGGAAGACGTTCCTTTGAAAGCCGGCATCCTGAGGTAGCAGAATTATTATAGAAGTATGCTGCATGGTGATTAGTTTTACAACCCTGCTTAATTAATCTTTTCGAAACGAGAACGCATTCCGGAATTTTGGTTGACATTTCATGAGTTAGCCCACCTACTGTATCATTCGTTAGTCCGTGACAACTTAATGATTTGCGACAGGTTCGTACTGCGTGTATGTGGGATGACAGGTTCGGGGGCTGAGAGTCAGACTCAGCCATTTTTCCTCAATGTGGTCTCTGTGGTATTCTAATGGACGCGAGATCTGAGACACTCCTTGTTTCTGTGAAAACATTTTACAGTAAGATGTGGCTATATAGCCGCACCTGATGGACACAATGCTGTTGACCTAATTGATTATTTTGATTTGATGTGATTACGTTGGCGTGGTGTTGCTGTGCGTTGTGGTGTGTATTTCTGTTGGCGGCCTTGTTTATTTGTTGCAGTGTCTACCTTCTTTGGTCCAATGCCGGTGGCCCTTCTTGACTTTCGGCCTGTCGTCTCCTTCTTACTTTTGCGTTAAATGTTTCGGGTTAGGGATTAGGGCTGCAGTTAAGAGTTAGGGGTTAGAGTTGGGGGTTAGGGTAGGAGGCCAGGATTACAAGTTCGCGTTAGGGGTTGAGACATCTATTTCTCGACCACTCAAAGTATAACCGTGCATTCCCAATAGCTTTTCTTTTGCATACCTGACCTCATCGCATGTGCCTTCCCTGACCCCTCCTGTAAAAAGCCCTATTACCTCCGGTCCCGTATTACAGGTGGCTGGGGATTGCTTAATTGAGGTGAGGCAACATAACCACATCAGTCCTACTCCAGCTCTGGGGTCAAAAACTCGATAAGTCTTGCCGACAAGAATTAAAGGCAATGACGGCTACCCATTGCCCTTTAGCCTCGGTCAGCCAGTGATACTCACCCGTTGCGCAGCGAACCAGATAGTGTGTGGCACGCGTAGACAAACTGTATAACAGGATGTCTGCTTTCGAACGCACTGCATTTTAATCTCCTGCAGAAATCGGACTCGGTAAAAAATGACTACTTAAGTAGCATACATTGTACATACAGATTTTCGATGGTCTTGCAAATTCAAATATATGTTATAAAAAACATGAATCAAAATATGCTTTCTTTCACTCTTTTGATAGAGAATTACGTCGTTTTCGTGAGTTATACTCGAAGAAGGAGCATAATTGGGTTCTAAAAAAGTTTCTAATTATAAGGTTTTTTAAGACCGTGCAATGTTCGTTGATACAGCATCGTAGCCCTCCTTTTATCACTGCTCCTCATAAAATGTACAACATAGTCCGCATCCATTGCAAAATTTTATGGACTCTATATGGTATCTTTTTAAAGACATAGAAGAATATATGATTTTCCTTACGCGGAGCGCATGCACCTTACAGACTGAAATGATTAAACGCTAATGCAGCGGCTAATCAGACTCCAAATCATTTGGAAATTAAAAAACTTTTCTGGAACCTAATTATACTCCTTCTTCGAGTATAACGTACGAATACGACGTAATTATCTATCAAAAGAGTGAAAGAAAGCATATTTTGGTTCATGTTTTTTTATAACATATATTTGAATTTGCAAGACCATCGAAAATCGATGTGTAAAATGTATGCTACTTAAGTAGTCATTTTTTACCAAGTTCGATTTCTACAGGAGATTAAAAAATAGTGCTTTCAAAAGCAGACATCCTACCGAGTTTGAAATATTATAGGATTGTGTAGTAAGATAATACGTATTAGAACGTCACCTAAGTAATCCTTCCTAATCGGAAACGCATTTCGGAATTTCGGCTAACATTTCATGAGATCGTTGACTCGCTGTATGTCCAAGCTGACGTCGGTTGGTTGTCTGACGATCATCGTGACTGGGGTAACGTGAAGAGATTTTAAAACAGGAGATTTCGTAATTATATTGGGTAGGTTAAAGATGTTTGTGCATCCGAACAGGGATTGTGGGTAGTATAGAGGCGGCGGTCGATTAGAAGCTTGGATCACTTCCATCCCCAGCAAAGAGGACTGAACAATCAATGTCTGTGAACCACGTCCATATTTTGGCCGACTGTATTGAGTCAGGTTCTGTGTGGACCAGGGGATGTGGAGTGGAGCGTCAAGGTGGGGGCTCGATCGTGCCATCCACCTGCGTCCTCCTCCGCCTACGGTCTTCTTAACTCTGTCTTGACGCCGGGCCCAGGTGGGGAAGGAGGAGAGAGTGCGGTAGATGCTGCGCAAGTCCACCATCACTATAAACCAATTCACGCACAAGTCGCCGTCCTGCGCTAACCTTGTTCTGGAGCACACGGTGGACATTGTCGGCAACGACGGTCGAACTGTCGAGTCAACTACCGGACTTGCCTATCAGGCTCAAAGTCGCATCCGGGACTCCGAACAAGCGGCAAGGCGATAAAGTAACTCTCTAGAATTTTGTGCTCCATTAATTCCCGGCTGTGCACATTTATTAGCGGATTTCTGTACGAAAATCCTGGATGGGATTGATTTTTGTGACCCTCTAAACATGACATGGGAGTAAAAAGATCTCTCCTACGCATAATTCTGGAAAGAACAAAATATTCCAACGTCCTAACCCCGACAAGAACCCCAATGTGAAACTAAACCGTTGCCTTAGTCTTAACCACGAACCTACCCTAAACCTTAAATCGGCAGTCAACAATAGCCCCCTGCCTTAGGCCTATATCTGATACTAACTTGCCTTACCGCTAACTTAAAATCTAGCTTTAAAACCAATCCTTAATCTAACCCTAGCCATAGCCTTGAACCTAACCCCAATTCGACTGGAAATTGGCTCAAAGCCACCCGTATTGCAGGCGGTTCTTTCCCTCATGTCCTGTTCGGGGACCCATATAAGTCAGTCTCACCTAATCTCGACATGGCCAGGAGTGACTGTGATTCGTGATGAGACATGTTATGCGCAACGGATGCGAATTAGCCGAATCTGTGTCGACGCACTTGCCCGCAACTATAGGAGCCGAGTTGCGATCCATGGGACACCGTAGCCTGGACAAACGTTTCTCCACATCCTAACCCTTAGCAACGACAACAACGTTATCTGCGGAAGACACCATCGGTTTTCAGAGTTAAAGAAGAAAGCTAGCTGTACAAAAAACGGTCCTCGAAGAGTGATGTTCATGAGAGAAGAAGCGCTGACGTGTAGAAACGTCCAAGCAGTCGTCCAAGGGCGCGGAAAACTAAAGGGCTTGTAACACAAAAACAAACCAGATGACAGTAAACTCTAAACATGACCACCCCAAACAGCATTCTCCAGTTGGGTATTAGGCAGTCTTGTCTGTAGGGAGCGTGCCTTTCATAAATCCGCACTAGTGAACCTGAAGTAAGATCGCCGAGTGGGCTACCGAACCTTGGACTCATCGGATTACAGGAACTCCAAGTAGGAGGCAGCAACTGTTGAGTCGCGTAGGAGACACTTGCCATCAATGGCCACCACCTACAACACTCACTAACATCTCACTATTTAGACCCCTCGTGACGCGGGAATGCTTTCCGTATGAGAGTGGCAATTGACTCACAAGTGAACACGCCCCCCCCCCTTGAGGGGATAGCAGTCAAGTGACGTAATGTAAGATAATAGCGCAACCAGTCCCGGCTGTGGGAAACTAATTGATCAACGCACATACAGTCGCCGTCGTATACCTCGAGAGCATTGCCTACAACCCTATGGGCGCTACTGAAGGTGATACTCACATGCCCAGTCTAGCCAAACCAAACCCCACCCCCACCCCTCCACCCGCCGTCAGCCGGAACCTCAGATTTTTATGTGGGACGGCTTGGCTAACCGATCACTAGACGTTTCAGAACGAGGAAGCAGGCACGGAGAACGAGAATAGTATCCGAACACAATGCCAAAAACGGAGAGCGATGTTTGGTTTTGCAGCCCCATTTTATTGATACTGTATGGTTAGCTTACTAAAACAATTTTAGTTAATATACCTAACTTAGCCACTCGCTGAACTCGGAAGGGAAAGAAAGCGCAAACAGAGCACGAAAAACGCGCAGGAAGCAAGTGAAGGGGGCCTGTACACACTCCCCCCCCCCTCCACAAACAGCCACTCGCTGGATGTAGGGGATATGGGGAGCGCAATCACGATTGGAAGGCCACTGAGGGTACGGCGTGGTAATTCACAGTGCATGGCCACTGAGGTAGGCTCGACGGCATTCCACACTGTCGGAACAATTCCATTAGCAAGCTACTTGGCCACTTGCTGGATTAGAATACCGAAGAAAGCGTAAGCAGGGCTCGAACCACGCGGAGGTGAGCGCATGTGAGCTGATAACTGAAGTAACCGAGGCTGGCGTATAAGCACTCCTCCCCCCCCCTCCCCCGTGGCACAGTCACTCGCTGGATCCAAGTGGTGAGAAGGATGTAAATACATAATATTCGTTAAGTCGGCATATTCGCATCTACTAAAATTAGTTTAGAAAGCTGACAATATGGTATCACTCAAGGGGGGCTGTAGGACCAAACCTCGCCAAACGGAGAGACGGGAGGTGGTTACTCAAGAAGGGTGGTTTGACGAACATCCTCCATAAGTAGCAAGTTCACTCATAAGTCCGTGGTCAATCTCAAGCATGTTATTTTTGAAAATACGCGACTTTTAAAGCTTATCAATGAAGTAGTCAAGTGGTGGTATCGCCTCCGGCTTTCCTTTGCGTTTCCTGATACTTGCAACAAGGATTCCCGACTTGCTGTTGGCATCCAAAGGATCACCAGGATAGAGTTGCCAGTGATCAAACTGGCATTGAGGGAAAGCTCTGCCACCGGTGTTGGCACGCAGCTCAGCAGTGAATCCTGGGAAAGGGGATTAGATAAAGAAAAGAACGTTCTTACCAAAAGACTCGTTGACAGGGAGATGTGCTTTGACCACTTTTAGTGGGGTTCCAGGAGTCATTTCCTCACTGAAAACGACGCCTCGCCTGTTGTCAAGGGTGCTGCGGACACCATCCAGGGCTTCTTCAGGTGTCTGAATTTCGCATAGATACACAGGTTCCATTATCATAGGCGACGCAGTCAGACAACTGGCAAGGAAACAACGCTTCGCAGTGGGCATGATTTGACCACCTCCTCTGTGAATTGCATCAGCATGCAATGCAACATCTTCGATGTTGAACCGGATGCCACGCATGGTTTCGTTGCAGAGCACACCGTCCGTTGTGACCAGCTGGAATGCAGCCACGATGCTATCTTTGATATCACTGAAGTACTGCACACCCTTTATAACATCTAAAACGAGGTTAGGACCGGTGCCATTTGGACCAAAGCACCAAATCTTCCGGCTGTCGGTTGCGTCCCAGCCGTGCTCATCAATCAACAAACGCCCTCTTTCCTTTGGATCCATCCTCGCAAACTTTTCTCCCTCATCAATCAGGTTCGTCAACTCATCACCCAGAGGTTCCGCTCGGAAGTACAATCGATTGTGTTTGTTGGCGGACTTTGACATGCATTGTTGCGAGTCGTAGGCCGTAACTGTTTCTCTGTATGAGACAACTGGATCGGACTTCTTGATTGGAATGCACGCATGATCCTCCTCCAGATCTTTCAAGCAAATTTCAAGGTGCAATTCACCAGCACCGGCTATGATGTGCTCGCCGGACTCCTCTGTGTAGATCTAAGAGAACTTCAGATTTATCAAAATAACCTACCTGGACAATAGGGTCACTCTTTGCCAACCGTTTCAAACCTTCGACTAGCTTTGGCAGATCGCTCGGGTTTTCGCAGTCTACGGCAACACGGACGACGGGGCTGACGCTGAATTTCATCTGACGCATATTGTGCGCCCCGGCAAAGGTTGTGATGGTTCCAGTCTTCACCAGAAACTGATCAACGCCAACCAGACCACAGATATTTCCACAGGGCACATCCTCAATGGCCTCGGTGCAACGACCCATCATCAGGATTGTACGCTGTATGGATTTTTCGTACAATTCATCGTCCTTCCTCTGGACAAAGTTAGTCCCCATGATTTGAACCGCCTGGCCGGTAGCGACCTTTCCAGAGAATACACGACCAAGGGCGTAGAAGCGACCTTTGTCCGAGGTAGGAACCATCTTACTTATATACATCATGAGTGGTCCCTCTGGATCGCAGTCCCGGATGGCAAAAGCAGCCTCGTCGTCGTGGGGTCCGTCGTACAATAGCTCCATGCGATACTTCTGAGAGACAACAGGACTGGGAAGGTGGATGCAGACCATCTCTAGGAGACAATCTTCAGCCGGCAGCCATTTGCGCATAATGCACTTCAGCATATGTTTGGAAGACAGCTCGAATTCTTCTGAACTGAGATTTACGTTAATCCTACTAAGGAGATTTTCAATTTCTGCCTTGTTTCCACTTTGGACGGCACGGAAGATTTTGCATATCGGCTCCAAGACAAATTGAACGAAGCTTCGGACTTCCCCGTCATCATTCTGCGTCCTCCATTTTTTCTCTTTAGCATTGAAGAAATTGTCGCCCCACAGCTTGGACAGCAACTTATCTGCGGGCATACGCATTCGGTTTGCGTAGTAGGAGGCCATGGTGTGAAGGCTGAAAGCCCAGCCCTGTTGACCGGAACCGAAACCTACAGTACCAGCGTCGGGGTTGACAGTAACGACACCCATCGGACCATCATCCTCACTAAAATGGGCAATGATAACGTTCGTACTATCCACCACCCGAGATAGATGCTGGTAAAGTCCTTCCAGATCTTGGCCCATTGTGTTAATGGCCTCGTCAAACTTATTCAAGAAGAGGATGGGCTTGATTCGTTCAGTGAGAGCTTGACGTAGTCCCACTTCTGTCTGCACGCAGACACCAGCCATCGCATCTACGACCACCAAGCAGCCGTCCGTCACTTGGAGGGCAGTGGCGACCTCGGAGCTGAAGTCTCCGTGGCGGGGCGAGTCAATAAGGTTGGTAAGAAATCCACGCTCCTCCCTACCCTCCCCATTAATGGTCAAGGGCTGGATTTTTTGCACGAGTGCCAACTGTTCGGGTCCCAACTCATTGTAAAGAGAAACAACCACTGATTTCAGGGCAGTGCAGTGTTCCTGCTCATCGCCTGCACCGGCCTCAACGATAATGCCTGCTTGTGAGACGAGGGAGTCAGTCAGGGTGGATTTTCCGTGATCGACGTGGGCAATGATAGATATATTGCGAATGTTTTTGTGGAAATTCATCAAGCGACGAATCTGTTCGACCGTGAAGTTCACCTGAAAGAGTGGGCGGACAGTTATGCGTTTATAGGTTTAATTTTTAGGTAAATTGCAAAACAACGTTCACGCTGATCATAGCGGATTACACTCTCGTGAGCTGTTAAACATAAATCCCCCCTCTGTTTGATAATTAAAACAAAAGGACTAACCATTTTGACGAGTCTGCTCCAGAGGAAAAAACAATCCTCGGCAGAGGCAGACCCGTTCTGATCGCACGAGGACCTTTTATGTAGTCGTCAGCCCCAGCAATAATTCCTATTGGTCAGTGAGTCGAGTTCGTAGATTGGTTACTTTTTTCCAATCTGTCTCTTAGAATATTTATTTGGCTTACAGAGGTGCCAACGATAATAGCGGTAGAGGGACACGGTGTCTGAGATGTTTCAGCGGTTTCTGTATGGACACAAACTTGACTATAATCGAATTAGAAGACGCAGTCAAGTTTGTCACAGTTGATTGGAGAAATGTTCTGTATATTATGATTAAATTTAGGAAACAATTTATTACTGCAAACCTATGAATTCACACTAATATACAGCTGGGAGCCCTAATGCGAAGCGAGTCATATTCTACTGTCGCAAATACGTGTGCACATTAACCTCGACTCGTAAGTATATGCTAGGTATTTATGGTATTATATTTCCTGTGAAAGTATGCGGGCCGTGGTGTCTTCTTCGGCCTAATGCATCAGAAATAGGACTGCCTTGTAACCACGTCGGTTAGGACGGGATATAATCTCGAACGCCTGCCTGTAGAGCTAGGTAGAGCAGCCCAGGTTCCCAAATGGTGGACTTTCACGAACTTCGTACAGTAGGTGTGTTGACTCATAAAATGTTAACCGAAATACGGAAATGCGTTTTCGTTTCAAAAAGATTACTTAAGCAGGGTTGTAAAGTTAATCATCATGCAGCATAATTTCATAGTAATTCGGTGCCAACTTTTAAAGGAATCTCTTTCCGGCCGCATAGAAAATCACACTCCGAATTTTTGTTGTTTATTTTCGATGCTCTCGAAAATTTAATGATAGTTCTTGGAAAACATGCATAAAAATATTTTTCCTTTTACTCTGTTGGTTGATGATTACGTCTTCTTTTAGTTTTCAACTCGAGAGGAGAGTATAGTTCGATGTTAAATAAATTATCCAATTCTCGAACAAGTTCGAGCACTACCTGCCGTTACGCTTACATTCAGGGTCTCCAAACTACAAGCCGTATATTTTCTGCGTTTTCGTTTCAATCATCATGAAACTCAACCCCATAATAATTCAGTTACCTCGGGATGCCAGCTTTTGAACGAACCTCTTTCTGGCCGTGTAAAAACTACGATCCGTGAAAAATAATTACTTATATAGATTGAATTTTTCTCATTGATTTTCGATGCTCTTGAAAATTAAATTATATTTCATAAAAATATGCATACAAATATTCGTCCTTTTAATCATTTGGTTGATGATAAAGTCTTCTTTCAATTTTCTACTCCAAAGGAGAGTATAGTTCGATTTTGAAAAATCTGTCCAATTCTCGAATGATTTCGAACACGACTTGCCGTTACACTTGAATTCACGGTTTCCAAACTACAAGTCGTATATTTTTCGTGTACAAAAAACCATACATTTCTCTATGTTATTAAGGGGATGCCATAACGGGCTCACGAAATTTTGCAATGGATTTAAGCCATACTGTAAACTTTACAAGCTACATTAGTTAGTGCAGAGCGGAGATGTTTTATGAATGGGCATTTCACTGTATTGAGGAATTTCACAATTGGAAGCTTTCCAAAACCGAGCTAAACCTCTTTTCTGGGTGGAAAATCGAAAGAAAATGTAATTCGCAACCAAAAGAGTAGACAAATAAGTATTTTCATGCATGCTCTCCATGAAATTTAATCGAATTTTCACGGGCGTCGAAAATAAATGAGGAAAATTCGTATTACATAAGTAATCATCTTTTACAGAGTGTTATTTTTTATGCGTTCGGAAAGAGGTTCATTCGAAAGCCGGCCTCCTTAAGTAACTGAATTATTATGGAATTATGCCGCATGATGATTAACTTTAAAATCTTACATAAGCAATCTTCTTGAAACGAAAATGCATTTCAGGATTTTGGTTAACAGTTCATGAGTCAGCATACCTACTGTTCGTCCCCACCGACAACTAACGAGATGTACATTCGTTGTGAACTTTCTTTGTAGCGCAATAACAAACTCCTCGCCTAAGTTCAGTATTTAGGAGAAATGATTCAAAATGGAGCTTATGTCCGCGGTGAGTAAATGCGAGAATGTAGCTTGTAATAACGTACACAAGGTGGGCTAACTGATGAAATTTCAACCGAAATTCCGAAATGCGTTTTCGTTTCAAAAAGAGTACTTAAACATGGTTGTAGAACTAATCATCATGCAACATAATTTCACAATAATTCAGTTGCGTCAAGATGTCGACTTTCGAACGAAGTTCTTTTCGGTAGCATGCACAAGTTATACTTTGTAAAAAGATGACTACTTAATTAGCGTACATTTTTCTCATCGATTTCCGATCAGCTTAAAAACCTTTCTATATTTCATAGAAAACATAGATGAAAATACTAATTCTTTTGCTCATTCGGTAGACCTTTACGTCTTATTTCAATTGTACACTCGAACGGATGGTATAATTCGGTTCTCAACAACTTTCCCAATTCCCGAATAATTTTAAACCCAACCCGTAGTTGCACTTGCATTCAGTGTTTCAAAACTACAAGCCGTATATTTTCCGCTTACAGAAAACCATATATTTCTCTACGGTATAAGGAGAAGACCATATGGGGTTCATGAAATTTATCAGTGTATTTGAGTCATATTGTTAACTCTACAAGCCACATTGGTAAATGCAGAGACGTGACGTTTTACGAACGGCTATTTCACGGTATTAAAAAAGCCCACAATTAGAAACTTTTTATAAATCTGAATTGTACCCTTCCTTCGAGCAAAAAATTGGAAGAAGATATAATTTTCTACCAAATGAGCAGAAAAGTATTTTCATGCATGTTTTTTATGAAATATAATTGAGTTTTTAAGGGCATCGAAAATTACTGGGAAAAATTCATGCTACATGGGCAGTCATTTTTTACAGTGCAGCCGGAAGGAACTTCACTCGAAAGCCGGCATTCTGAGGTAAATGAATTATTGCAAAACTATACTACAGGCTGATTAATTTTACAACCCTACTTAATTAATCTTTTCGAAACGAAAACGTTTTTCGGAATTTCGATTAACATGTCATGAGTTAGCTCACCTACTGTATCTGATCAGTTTGCAGGCTCCTATTATTAACAAAAGCCGAGCCTCAAACTATGGACGGATCATCCCCTGCATTGATATTTTGAAGTACTGGTGCGTGTACATCTTTTGCGAGGGCATTTCGCAGCTCTATTTCGGGAAAAGCGTTGACGCAAGCAGTTCAGTCAAACTCCAAACAGTGTAAGTGATTAAAGTTCAGCTTCATGGAAAGTTTCACTGCGATGGTTCATGGGGAGTTGACCGCATGTGACAGAGCTTAATTTGCGTGGCAATTACGCTTGCAGTGGGAAGATAGAGTCAGACTCCTCCAGGTTTCGGCGGCTGATTGATGACAATCCAACAGGGAATACGAATACGGTCTAAAGGAGAGCTTGTGTAATTCAAAAAGTTGGAAGATGGAAGGCGGGCGGTCAGATGTGCTTCTAGGGCCGCAGGGGAGTGAAAAAAAACCTAGACCTCGGTAACACGGAACCGGTGGTAATAGGAGTTTTTACAGGTGGGCCCAGGGAACTCACAGGCGACGAGGTCAAGTAGTTGTATGCAAAAGAAAAGCTATTCAGAATGCGCGGTTGTACGTTGAGTGGTTGAGAAGCAACTGCCCTTATCCCAACGTCTAACCCTAAACCATTACCCTGACCGCAAGCCCTAACCCCCAAACCTAATCCCATAACCCTGGGCCATAACACCTTAAACTAACCCCAGCCCCAAACCTAAGCCCTAACCCCTAAAACTAACCCTAACCCCTAACCCTGATCCCAACACTAACCCTGACCCTTAAATACAGCCCTTATTTCTAAGCCTAAAACATCCAACGCGAAAAATAGTAGGAGACGACAGGCCGAATGTGAAGAAGGACCACCGACATTGAACCAGAAAAGGTAGACACGACAACAACGAAACAAGACCGCCAACAGAACACTCACCGCAACGCAACACCAAGCCAACGTAATCACACCAACTCAAAATAATTAAGTAGGTCAACAGTATTGTGTCCATCAAGTGTGGTTACACAATCACATCTTACCCAAATTTGACTTAAGCAGTTCAGTCAAACTCCAAACGGTGTACGTCATCAAAGTTCGACTGCATGGCACGTTGCACTGAGATGGTACTTGGGGGTAAGTCTCATGTGAAAACGCATAATGTAAACCGCAATCACGCTTGCAGAGGGAAGCAATCTCAGCATACCCCAGATTTCAGCGGCTGACTGGTGACCAAGAAGAGAGTCCGCTGAATATTATCCAGCAGATGCGACCATCAGCTCGACGGTTGAAGGTGTTGAAGAAGAGGACACGATCGCCGGGACAAGAGCTTTATTAGCCTGACGTTTCGGACTCCTGCTCGAACCCATCATCAGAGACAAAAGCAGAGACAGGTGGTTCATGCATCAAGGGCTGCAGTATTTAAAGGATACAGTCGCCATGCTACCGCATACCTGTGAATATTCAGGCTCGTCTCTTCATCAGGGATCGTTGCACGTGGTGCGATGGCCGATATTCGCGTCGTTAATGGCTGCAATTTCATCACGTGCGTTGGATGTTGGTGTGATGATTGCTCGACCATCTGATCCATCGACCCTGGCGTTGGGAAAAGTGTTCATCTGTGCGCTCCCCAAGTGGCTTATTATTCCGCCTAGGCGAAGTCTCAGCACCGAGTATGGAAGGGGGAGTTCACTGCATTTGTTAATGGACTGGGGGCCAGTAAACCATGATTCAAGTAGCTCCCGACTCATGCAATTGTTACCTCTTGCGATAATTTCGGCCTCGTCAAATTTGAATGTGTGGTCGGATCTGGTCGAATGAGCCGCAACTTGAGAGCTGGCGTCATTTCTCCTCACCGTTGCAGCGTGTTCGGTCATTCGCGTTTGGAGCTGTCTTCCGGTTCCTCGGACGTAGTTGCTTTGTCCGCAACTGCACCAGATCCGATAAACGACTCCAGACGTTTCTTGACGTGACAGTGGGTCTTTCGGTTTCGTTACCAGACGCCTGGTGGTTGTCTCCGGTCCGTGTGCAACTCCAATCCCAAGTGGCGTAAGAAGGCGGCCGACAGCTTCCGAAACGTTCTTGAAATATGGAAGCGCTCGACGAAATTTGGTGTCCGTGCGGTTGGGCCTTTCGTCCCTTTTGCGTATACACAGATTGACGAACTTGCGCATGCAGCCATTGGCTTTGAAGACCCGTCGAAGGTATTGCAGCTCGGTAATCTTGTCTTCCGGCTCACTGCAGTGCGTTTCGACACGCCGATAGAGCATCTTTACACAACTGCGTTTGTGGCTGATTGGGTGGTCACTGTTGAAGTTCAGTACTTGCATTGTATTTGTCGCTTTCATGAGCACTTTGATTTTTATTTTACCACAATCTTTGCGGCATACGAGGACATCCAGGAAGGCGCGCTGGGTGTTCTCTTCCTCCTCCATAGTGAATTGAATGTCCGGGAAGACCGCATTCAGATGTTCCTTGAATGTTAGCAGTTGATCCCGGTCGATAACGTCGAAGGTATCATCCACATACCGGGCCCAGAACTTCGGTTTGTGGCATTGGAAGACCAGCGACTCTAACCATTGCAGGACCGTGAATATTCATAGGTATGCGGTAGCGTGGCTACTGCATCTTCTAAATACTGCAGCCCCTTATGCATTAACCACCCGTATCGGCTGTTGTCTCTGATGATGGGTTCGAGCAGGAATCCGAAACGTCAGGCTAATAAAGCTCTTGGCCCGGCGATCGTGTCTCCTTCTTCAAGACTGCTGCCTGGGACTCGTCTCTTCACTTCTATTGGGTGAAGGTGTACCTTGGAAGGAAGGTGGCTTTATCTTAACGCAGCTAAGGTCGGAATTAAAAGATGAAGCACCTAAAAAATATGCGCCGCCGGCTCTCTCTCATGGTGGGAATGAAGAATGCCCGATTTTCCACGAGGAGTGGCTGCGACCCTGATTTACTTTACGACGGAGAGTAAAACCGGGCTGCCTGCTTTACGACGCCGGCTCTGCGGTCGACGTATAGTGAATATCCGGAGATGGTGTAAATGGACGCCACCTACCGAACAAGTAGGCGGGGATGCGCATTGTACCACATTGTACCACGCTCGATAAAAGATGACAACTGAAATAAAATGGACTTTTCCTATTGATTTTCGATGGTGTTATAAATTTGAATATATCTAGTAGAAAACATGCACAAAAGTATGCTTTCTTTTAATCCTTTGGCAGAAAATCACATTTTTGTATTTTGAACCCGAAGAAAGTTCATATTAAGGTTTTTAAAATGTTTTTTAATTCCCAGATAATTTTGAGCCTGCTCTGCCATTGCATTAGCGTTTAGCGATTTCAGTATACAGAGTGTATACTTTCCAAGTGAGGAAAACCATATATTCCTCTATGCCTTTAAAAACATACCATAAAGAGTTCATAAAACTTTGCAGTGGATGTGGACTATGTTGTACATTTCATGAGGAGCATTGATAAACGGACATGTACGATGCCGTGGGAATGGAGATCGGACGGTTTTAAAAGTCTCATAATAAGGTACTTCTTTAAAACCTAAATATACACTTTCTTCGGGTATAAAATATAAAACAATGTGATTTTCTACCAAAGGAGTGAACGAAAGCATATTTGTGTGCATGTTTTCTACAAAATATATTTGAATTCACCGAAGATTGGCAGTGATGCCGTTAGGCCACTTGAAATGTAGCCTTCCGACAAGTGACAAGCATTTACAGTGAGTGATCGGTCTCATGAAATGATAGCAGAAATTCTGAAATGCGTTTTTGATTAGGAAGGATTACTTAGGTGGGGTTGTAATGCTGATTATTTTGCCGCCTAATCCTATAATAATTCGGACTCAGCAGGATGTCCGGTCTTGAATGCACATCATTTCAACCTCCTATGGAAACCGTACTCGGTGAAAAATGACTACTTAAGTAGCATCCATTTTCCCCATTGGTTTCGATGGTCTTGCAAATTCAAATATACTTTATAAAAAGCACTAACAAAAATATGCTAACTTTGGTAGAAAATCACATTGTCTTTAAAATTTATACCCAAAGAAAGTGTGCGTTATGGCTTTGAAAAGTTTCAAATTATGAAACTTTTTAAGACCGTTCAGTGTCCATTCGTACAACATCGCACCAGTCCGTTTACCATTGCTGCTCATGAAATGCACAACACGGTCCGCATCTATTGCAGAGTTTTATGGACTCTACATGGTATCTTTTTAAAGGCATAGAAGAATATGTGATTTTCCTTACACGGAACGCATGCACCTTACAGACCGAAAGCACTAAGCGCTAATGCAACGGCTAATCAGGCTCCAGATTATTCGGAAATTAGAAAACTTTTAAAACCCCAATTATACTTCTTCCCGCGGTAAAAACTATGAAGATGACGTGATTTTCTATGAAACAAGTAAAAGAGAGCATTTTTTCGTGTTTTTATAAAACGTATTTAAATTTGCAAGACCATAAAAGATCAATGGGATAAATGAATGCTTTTTAAGTAGTCATTCTTTGCCGAGTATGGTTTCTCAAAGAGGTCGGAAAGAACAGCATTAAAAAGCCGACATCCTGCCGAGTCCGAAATATTATAGGATTATGTCTCAAGATAATCAGCATTACAACTGCGCCTGAGTAATCCTTCCTAATCGAAAACACATTTCAGAATTTCGGCTAACATTTTATGAGATCGTCACTCAATGTAATCCAGACGAGGAGCGCTGTCGCTGAGTTTCATGAAGAAGGAAAAGAGTGACAGTGCTGCTGTTCAGCCACTTCGAATGCACCTTTGATTGTAATTCTACAGTCGCATCCACACCAACTGTTTTCCTCACTTCATGGTCCTGTCGAATAAATTACATCCAACCGCCTAACCTTCCACCGATTGTTGGCAGAGTAAAATTCCACGAGGGGACTTGGCGTTAGGACATTGGTATTGCTGTTACTATGTTTGTGCCTGTGGAAAGCTGCCTTGCGGGGATACGAGGAAGTGCATTTACATTCCTCCAGCGCTTCCTTTTCTTTGTCTCCTCAAACAAATGTGCACGCACCTCTCATGACATTGTGACCGCATTTCTCCCCAACTACCTCACAACGATCGGATTCCACTCAGCCCCCTCCTAGTGGCACTTTCTTGCATTTCCTCTCCCCCCCCTCGCCTAGACTCCCCTCTTAGAGCACTCAATTTGCCCAGGTTTAACTTTAACCTTATGCTCACTGACATCAGGTTCTTGATGTTTTTGACTTTGAAGCAAATACATAGACTGCAGAATTTGTTGGAACCGCACGGGCCTATTAGGTCACATGCGTTTTCTCGAAAACCTGCGGTAGACCACCGCCGACTGTACCACATCATCACACCTCCCCCCATCTTAACAATGGGAAAGGAGCAGTGCAATAGCTAGCTTTCCTGGATGTCCTTATGACTAGACAGAAAGATTATTCAATGAGACGGCGGGTTTTCTCTCAGAATACATGGAAGGGTCAATACCTCCACTTCCTGAGCTTTGAGCCAATACAACGAAAGCTAAATCTGGTTTGCACTCTTTTCCAAAGAGCAAAGAACATTTGCTCTATTGAAACACTGGATGCTGAAATTTCTTGCCTCAAAACAGCCCTGATTAAACGTGGGTATCCAACACGGTTTATCGAAAAGTACAGCAACGCTTTACGGCCAAAACTGACGGACCAATCAGTTCCAAAAAAGCCCGTTGTAATATCCCTAGCATTTTAGGGTGACAACATCTCAGATACCATCAAAAGGCGATTGAGCTGCACCATTGAAAGAACATACAACTCAGCTGAACTCATATTCTGCAGTCCCACTGAGGCCATCCCAGTTCCACGGGCAAAGGAGGCCTTGCTATTGCACGCCACGTCAAATTCTCTTTACGAATTCACATGCACTTGTGGATGCAAGTACATTGGGAGAACGTAAAGGCAATTGGCAGCCAGGTCCGTTGAGCACCTGCCTAAATGGCTTCTAAAGCAGTAGAATAAAATTCCATGGTCTTTTATCAAAAAGTACCTCCTATATAGCGGTCCTTCGGTTGACCCTAAAACAGCTTTTAGAGTATTAGTTTGGGCACGAACAACTCGGATACCGTGCTACTTGGAGGCTGCCTACATACGGCGGGAGAAACCCGATCTATGCAAACAGTTAGACCACGTGGTTAACCTCAGCTTGCCCTGGTAAATCTCAGTCCTTTGATTTACTCAATCCCTCTGCGTGCCAACTTCCCCGTTTTCTTTCATAAGTTGCCTTCTCAAGTTGCAATTTTATTGATTAGTCTGCGTGCAGTATACGATGACCTTGCTGTTTTATATTGATATTCTCTGTGGAAGTTCAAACCTCTGTATCCTTCTCATTTGTTATCTGTGTTATTCAATAACAGGCTGCAGTTGATAAGCCGTAGCGAAAATTACTGGTTCCAATAAATTCTGCTGTGTATGCTTGCGTCGAATTCATCCCGAGGAAGTATTGCTTTGAGTTTTTGATTTTGTCGGGAGGAGGGTGTTCAAGTAGAAACTTTGTAAAACCCGAGATTACCCTTTCTTCGAGCAAAAAAGGTAAAGAAATCATAATTTTCTACCAAATGAACAAAAAGAAGCCTATTTTGTGCACGTTTCAATAAAGTATATTGAAATTTGTAGGGGCTTCGAAAATCAGTGCGAAAATGCATGCCATTTAAGTAGCCATTTTTTTACTGAATGCGGTTTTTACAGGAGGTCGAAAAGAAGTGCGCTCTAGAGCCAACGTCTTGGCGAGTCCAAAATTCCAGAGGATTGGGCCGCATGGTAACCAACTTAACAACCGCGCGTAAGTAATCTTTCCTAATCAAAGACGCATTTCAGAATTTCGGCTAACATTTCATGAGATCGGTCACACTCACTGCAAGTGCATATGACACGACGTCTGTAAGACCGCCCGATTATAATTTAAATTTCGAAAAAGACCACATCTACGAGACCGGACGTTGCAGTTCACTTCGGTTCAGGTTAGTCATTTCGGGGAAAGGCAGGCGAACGCCTTTGAACTCCTGTTGGTTACATTAACGTTGAAAGAAATTCCAATGCATAGACAAACTTCGAAATAAGATTGGCTAAAAAACTTCAAGCGACGAGCGTGTAGTTGTATGTATGGTATTACAACGTTGGAATTATAAAAACTCGCTACTGAAATGTTTCGAGTAGAATGGAAACGAATACCTAAACGGTAGCCGGAATGCCTTGGATCACACGTTTTCATCGGATGGGTAATTGAAAAGGCAATTACAAAATGTTACTGAACCACAGCGACTAGAACGTCTAGTAGTTAATAACTTTCGGGAGGAAAACACGAGTCTGCATTCCCGATAAACTAAATCATGCACAAGTCATCGTCCTGTGCTCACCTTGTTGCGGAGGACACGGTGGACATCATCGGCAACGACGGTCGAAGTGTGCGTTTGTGTGGAGTAGCCGACTGGTGTGTTGAGAGTAAGGTTACAATGTCTGCCTCCTAATGTGGCCTCTATGACGCTCCTATTTTGTTATAGCCCGATGGGTAGACGGAAGAGAAGGAAGCGTATTCTGGGGTAACAACCCCCCTTCTTTGCAGCCTGCGAACACGGGTTATAACCCGTTAGAAACTCGCCTTATTGGCCCCTAGGTGTTCTGAAACATCTCAGCCAATGGCGTGCCAGTCCTTGAGGGCGTTCTAGAACATCCCTGTCTATGGTAAGGGGCGCTCACAGACCGTTCTTACGGAACTTACTCGTTCCGTTGTGCCCTACGGGCTCTCTCTCTCTCTCGAGCCCAACTAGCAGCCGCACAGCGGCGCATGATATAGGCAGAATGTTATTACTGACAAAGGCAAGCGAGACTGGAATGGCCAGTTCTGGCGTATTAGCCGTCGTCGGCCAGTCATACCCAACCTCGAAGTGTGGAACACCCGAGGCTCGAACTCACGACCTGTTAGTTAGAAGTCGACGCCTCTGAGCACATGGTCACGAGCCCGTTGTCCTGCCGGTTTCGATCGGGAATATACAGTGGCGTGCCGATCGCGAATCGGCCGACGCGTGCGCGAGAATCTCTCGAGGAAAAGCCTCGAATTATTCGACTGGCCATTAATTGGGCCGCTCGCGGGGGCAACGCCACCACACGTGCTCCACATACGAAGGTCGGCAGTCTAACTTCAGCGCGCGGTCCAGTCTTCCTTTCGCCTTAGGCCGTGACTCCGCACCGCTTGCAATTTCCATAACATCTACCGCTTTTTAAATTTGGACCTTGTACCTCTTCTTCTTCTTCTTCTTCTTCTTCTTCTTCTTCTTCTTCTTCTTCTTCTTCTTCTTCTTCGGCTCCAAGACCAATTTCCTCCGCGGCTGCACTCTCCTGTTGCTTCTACGAACAACTGGTGGTGTTGGCTAACTGTCTACCTTGGGGGTCGAAACCTCAAAGGTAGCAGACAGCAGGCCGAATGCAACTTAACCGTCTGTGGTGAATCTAGTCATGAGCTGGTTAGCATGCCTCTCGATTTTTCCTGCGGCTGTCTCCAACTCAAACACGGCACCTCCGGATTTTCTTACCCAAGGCTTCTCTTCGGTTTTATAGTTGCGAGCAAACACCTCTTCTCCCTCCCGAAAGCAGTGTTTTGTCGTTTGGGGAATTCGAATATCTGGTTGTACGCACTGTAATCGGATATCCGGCTGTCTGTCCAAAAACCGCTCGGCTGGTGTCTGGCTCCTAAAATAACTTTTTGGAGTCGTTCTATAGGCGAAAAGGAATGTGTTGAGGTACTCCAGTCTAACGTCACCATCGCATACCTTTTTCATTGCTCTCTCAAAAGTGTAGACGAAACGCTCTGCCTGGCCATTTGATGATGGATGGAATGGTGGGGACGTCATATCTGGGATCCGAGCTGGTGATATGACATGCTTAGGTGCGCGTTTTCGCCGTGCCAGACACCCGCGCCCTCTCCCGATATTGGTACTCTTGACTCTGTCCTA